AGGACCAGAGACCAAGACCTGGACCTGGACCGGGACCAGAGACCAAGACCTGGACCAGGATCAGGACCAGGACCAGGACCAGAGACCAAGACCAGGACCAAAGACCAAGACCTGGAGCTGGACCAGGACCAGAGACCAAGACCTGGACCAGGACCAGAGACCAAGACTGGACCTGGACCAGGACCAGGACCAGAGACCAAGACCTGGACCTGGACCAGGACCAGGACCAGAGACCAAGACCTGGACCAGGATCAGGACCAGGAGCAGGACCAGGACCAGGACAAGGACCAGAGACCTGGACCAGGACCAGAGACCAAGACCAGGACCAGAGACCAAGACCTGGACCTGGAGCAGGACCAGAGACCAGGACCTGGACCAGGACCTGGACCAGGACCAGGAGCAGGACCAGGAGACCAGGACCAGGACCAGGACCAGGACCAGGACCAGGACCAGAGACCAAGACCTGGACCTGGACCAGGACCAGGACCAGGACCAGACACCAAGACCTGGACCAGGACCAGGACCAGGACCAGGACCAGGACCAGAGACCTGGACAAGGACCAGAGACCAAGACCTGGACCAGGACCAGAGACCAAGACCTGGACCAGGACCTGGACCAGGACCAGGAGAAGGACCAGGAGCAGGACCCGGAGCAGGACCTGGACCAGGACCAGGACCAAGACCAGAGACCAAGATCTAGACCTGGAACAGGACCACGACCAGAGACCAAGAGCTAGACCAGGACCAGGACCAGGAGCTGGACCAAGACCAAGACAAGAGGCCAAGACCAGGACCAGAAACCAGGACCTGGACCAGAGACCAAGACCTGGACCAGGACCAGGACCTGGACCAAGACCAGAGACCAAGATCTAGACCAGGACCAGGACCAGGACCAGGACCAGGACCAGGACCAGGACCAAGACCAGAGACCAAGATCTAGACCAGGACCAGGACCACGACCAGAGACCAAGACCTGGACCTGGACCAGGACCAGAGACCAAGACCTGGACCAGGACCAGGACCAGGAGAAGGACCTGGACCAGGACCAGGACCAGAGACCAAGATCTAGACCAGGACCAGGACCTGGACCAAGACCAGAGACCAAGATCTAGACCAGGACCAGGACCAGGACCAGGACCTGGACCAGGACCAAGACCAGAGACCAAGATCTAGACCAGGACCAGGACCACGACCAGAGACCAAGACCATGACCAGGACCAGGACCAGGACCAAGACCAGAGACCAGAGACCAAGATCTAGACCTGGACCAGGACCAGAGACCAAGATCTAGACCAGGACCAGGACCAGGAGCTGGACCAAGACCAAGACAAGAGGCCAAGACCAGGACCAGAAACCAGGACCAAGACCAGAGACCAAGATCTAGACCAGGACCAGGACCACGACCAGAGACCAAGACCATGACCAGGACCAGGACCAGGACCAAGACCAGAGACCAGAGACCAAGATCTAGACCTGGACCAGGACCAGAGACCAAGACCTGGACCAGGACCAGGACCAGGACCTGGACCAAGACCAGAGACCAAGATCTAGACCAGGACTAGGACCAGGACCTGGACCAGGACCAAGACCAGAGACCAAGATCTAGACCAGGACCAGGACCACGACCAGAGACCAAGACCTGGACCTGGACCAGGACCAGAGACCAAGACCTGGACCAGGACCAGGACCAGGAGAAGGAGCAGGACCCGGAGCAGGACCTGGACCAGGACCAGGACCAGAGACCAAGATCTAGACCAGGACCAGGAGCTGGACCAAGACCAAGACAAGAGGCCAAGACCAGGACCAGAAACCAGGACCTGGACCAGAGACCAAGACCTGGACCAGGATCAGGACCAGGACCAGGACCAAGACCAGAGACCAAGATCTAGACCAGGACCAGGACCAGGACCAGGACCTGGACCAGGACCAAGACCAGAGACCAAGATCTAGACCAGGACCACGACCAGAGACCAAGACCATGACCAGGACCAGGACCAAGACCAGAGACCAAGATCTAGACAAGGACTAGGACCAAGACCATAGACCAAGATCTAGACCAGGACCAGGACAAGGACCAGGACCAAGACCAGAGACCAAGACCAGGACCAGGACCAGAGACCAAGACCTGGACTAGGACCAGAGACCAAAACCTGGACCAGGACCAGAGGCCAAGACCAGGACCAGAGACCAAGACCTGGACTAGGACCAGAGACCAGAGACCAGAGACCTGGACCTGAACCTGGACCTCCTGGACCTGGAACAGGACCAGGACCAGAGATCAAGACCAGAGACCAGGACCAGGACCAGGACCAGAGACCTAGAGACCTGGACCTGGACCTGGATCTGGACCTCCTGGACCTGGAACAGGACCAGGACCAGGACCAGAGACAAGAGACCAGGACTAGAGATCAAGACCAGAGACCAGGACCAGAGACCAAGACCTGGACCAGGACCAGGACCACGACCAGAGATCAAGACCTGGATCAGGACCAGGACCACGACCAGAGATCAAGACCAGGACCAGAGACCAAGACCAGGACCAGGACCAGAGACCATGACCAGGACCAGGACCAGAGACCAAGACCGGGGCCGGGACCAGAGACCAGGACCAGAGATCAAGACCATAGACCAGGACGAGAGACCAGAGACCAGAGACCAAGATCTAGACCAGGACCAGGACCAGGACCAGGACCTGGACCAGGACCAAGACCAGAGACCAAGATCTAGACCAGGACCACGACCAGAGACCAAGACCATGACCAGGACCAGGACCAGGACCAAGACCAGAGACCAAGATCTAGACAAGGACTAGGACCAAGACCATAGACCAAGATCTAGACCAGGACCAGGACAAGGACCAGGACCAAGACCAGAGACCAAGACCAGGACCAGGACCAGAGACCAAGACCTGGACTAGGACCAGAGACCAAAACCTGGACCAGGACCAGAGGCCAAGACCAGGACCAGAGACCAAGACCTGAACTAGGACCAGAGACCAGAGACCTGGACCTGAACCTGGACCTCCTGGACCTGGAACAGGACCAGGACCAGAGATCAAGACCAGAGACCAGGACCAGGACCAGGACCAGAGACCTAGAGACCTGGACCTGGACCTGGACCTGGACCTCCTGGACCTGGAACAGGACCAGGACCAGGACCAGAGACCAGGACCAGGACCAGAGATCAAGACCAGAGACCAGGACCAGAGACCAAGACCAACCAGGACCAGGACCAGACCAGACCAAGACCTGGACCAGGACCAGGACCAGGACCAGAGATCAAGACCAGGACCAGAGACCAAGACCAGGACCAGGACCAGAGACCATGACCAGGACCAGGACCAGAGACCAAGACCGGGGCCGGGACCAGAGACCAGGACCAGAGATCAAGACCAGAGACCAGAGACAAGAGACCAGGACCAGAGATCAAGACCAGAGATCAAGACCAGAGACAAGAGACCAGGACCAGAGATCAAGACCAGAGACAAGAGACAAGAGACCAGGACCAGAGATCAAGACCAGAGACCAGGACGAGAGACCAGAGACCTGGACCAGAGACCAAGACTAGAGACCAGAGACCAGGACCTGGAGGACCAAAGACCAAGACCAAGACCTGGAACAGGACGAGAGAACAGGACCAGAGATCAAGACCAGAGACCAGGACGAGAGACCAGAGACCTGGACCAGAGACCAAGACTAGAGACCAGAGACCAGGACCAGGACCAGAGATCAAGACCAGAGACCAGAGACCAGGATCAGAGACCAGGACCAGAGATCAAGACCAGAGACCAGAGACCAGGACCTGGACTAGGGTTGGGCGATATGGGCCTCAGCATGTATCACGATTTCTGTTGGTATGTATCACGATATGACGATATGATAATTTTAACAAAGCCTCATATAAAAGCTATAAAAACTTAGCACTGATCATTTTAAACACACTTGCCTCAAAGTGCATTTACTGATTTATTGGCAGCAAAATGTGTAATACAGCTATTGTATATAAAACGTATTAACAAAACTGAATTGTAGAGAATTCTGTTTTGTACATACTGAAAATTGCAGGCAACATGTAATAAAGGTGAACATTTGTAATTTGTAAAATATATAAAAGTTTGTCCTTTGTAATATAAAAAGTGTAGCATTATCAAATAATTATTTGATCACTTTGGCTTATGTTTCCTAATTCCAATATAGTCAAAATGATCAAATACTGTATATATTTTTTGTATCCTTTTGCGTTTCTATAATTATGTAATTATAACTTATTTGTAATTATATTGCAATGTAGACAAACACATGCATTGAAGTAAAATGAATGACAGTAAACAGTAAATAAAGCTTACCAATGGCACTATGAGAGAGAGAGAGAGTCCAGTTGTTTAGGGCAGCTGCTTTCACAACATTAGATCCACTGTCGATAGTTACACACAATTGCTTCTTTTTATCTAGTTCCCAAACTACTCCCATATGTTTGAGGTAGCTCCGCGTTTTGGCAATGTCTTCTACAATCTGCATGTCTTCACCATGGTCTTCACCGCCGCCCTCAGCCATGTTTGCTCTCTGCTCTGTTGTTGTTGTCCCTGCACGCCGCTCTGCTACACGTGCCGCGCAGATGCATCATCAAAGTGCGCCGCACACAAACGTGTCTTCCGCTTGCTGTTTTCAGTGTTAAATGATCGTTTTCACCAGTATAAGGCATTTTCTTATCATTTAATTTACTTATACCGGTATACCGGTACAAAAAAAATATCGCCCAACCCTAACCTGGACCTGGACGAGAGACCAAGACCAGAGACCAGAGACCAGAGACCAGGACCTGGACCAGGACCAAAGACCAAGACCTGGACTAGGACCAGAGACCAAGACCAGAGACCAGAGACCAGGACCTGGACTAGACCAGAGACCAAGACCTAGACCAGGTCAGTTCAGAGTCAGACCTGAGTTCCTGCAGGGGGCAGTGTGGGTCGTCCTGTAGAGCCTTCAGCAGCTCTGATGAACCTCCTGGATGGTTGTAGCTCAGGTCCAACTCTCTCAGATGGGAGGGGGCGGGGCTTAGAGCTGAGGCCAGAGCAGCCCCGCCCCTCTCTGAGATCAGACATCCAGACAGCCTAAAGACACACAGCGTTACACTCATGTGGACACAGAGGACACAGATGCATCATGGGAGTCTCACCTGAGAGTGTGCAGTCCACAGGGGGCGCTCTTCAGTCCAGAACACAGCAGCTCCACTCCTGAGTCCTGGAGGTCGTTGTTACTCAGATCCAGGTGTGTGAGACTGGAGGAGCTGAGGACTGAGGCCAGAGGACCACAGCTGTGAGGGGACAGTCCACACTCCCTCAACCTGAGGACAGAGACACATTAGAGACTAGACCCTCCACAGAAGACCTTCAACACAGTCTGGACTCACAGGGCTTTGGTGGAGGCTCTGACCACCGGCAGCAGACCCAGGAGAGCTGTCTCTGAGGCCCGGTATTTCCTCAGGTCAAAGTCCTGCAGGTCTGAGTCTGAGGACAGTAAGACGAAGGACAGAGTCGACCAATGAGCAGGAGAACTTAACCAGGAGAGTGCTCCTTCTCTCATGTAGCTCTGTATCTGCTGCACCAGACTGAGGTCGTTCAGCTCCATCAGACAGTGCAGCAGGTTCATGCTTCTCTCTGCAGACAGACCCTTTTCATTCAGCTTCTCTTTGATGTACTTTACTGTCTCCTGATTGGTCCCTGAGCCACTTCCTGTCTGAGTCAGACCTGACAGCAGCTTCTGATTGGTCGGCAGAGACAGCCCCAGGAGGAAGCGCAGGAACAGGTCCAGGTGTCCGTTTGGACTCTGTAAGGCCTGGTCCACAGCACAGCGGTAGAAGGTTCCCTCAGACTCAGAGGACTGTGGTGTCTTCAGCAGGTTCTCAGAGGACTGTGGTGTCTTCAGCAGGTTCTCAGAGGACTGTGGTGTCTTCAGCAGGTTCTCAGAGGACTGTGGTGTCTTCAGCAGGTTCTCAGAGGACTGTGGTGTCTTCAGCAGGTTCTCAGAGGACTGTGGTGTCGTCAGCAGGTTCTGTCCAGAGCTGTAGAAGGTCTGATGGACGTGAAGAGCAGCCAGAAACTCCTGCACACTCAGATGGATGAAGCAGTAGACCTTGTCCTGGTACAGGCCTGGCTCCTCTCTAAAGACCTGTGTGAAGACTCCGGAGTACACTGAGGCGGCTGCAGCGTCCAGCCCACACTCGCTCAGGTCACAGTCGTAGAAGATCAGGTTTCCTCTCTGCAGCTGCTCAAAGGCCAGTTTTCCCAGAGACGTCACCATCTCCCTGGTCTGTGGAGTCCAGGGAAGCTCCGCCCCTGATCCCTGCTGATACTTGATGTTGTGGACTTTGGCCTGCACCACCAGGAAGTGTGTGTACATCTGTGTGAGGGTCCGGGGCAGCTCTGGTTCCTCTGTTTGTTCCAGAAGCTTCTGTAGAACTGTGGAGAGGATCCAGCAGAAGACTGGGATGTGGCACATGATGTGGAGGCTGCGGACGCTCTTGATGTGGGAGATGATCGCTGTGGCCTGTCGCTCGTCTCTGAACCTCTTCCTGAAGTACTGCTCCTTCTGCGGGTCGGTGAAGCCTCGGACCTCTGTCACCATGGAGACGCACTCTGCAGGGATCTGATTGGCCGCCGCTGGGCGTGTGGTGATCCAGAGGCGAGCGGAGGGAAGCAGGCTTCCCCTGATGAGGTTCACCAGCAGCAGGTCCAGAGAGACGGACTCTGTGGGGTCTGAGAGGACACGAGAGCTGCTGAAGGCCAGAGGAAGTCTGCACTCGTCCAGACCGTCAAAGATGAGGAGCACCTGGAGGTCTTCAAAGCTGCAGAGACCTTTGGATGGACTGAAGAAGTGCTGTATGAGTCCCACCAGGCTGAAGCTTCTGTCCTTCACAACATTGAGCTCTCTGAAGGAGAAGGGGAACAGCAGCTGGAGGTCCTGATGAGCTCTGCCTTCAGCCCAGTCCAGACTAAACTTCTGAGTCAGCACAGTCTTCCCCACGCCGGCCACGCCCTTCGTCAGCAGGGCTCTGATTGGCTGTGGTGAGTGTGGGCGGGGCTTAAACATGTCTTCACAGGTGATGGTGGTCTCTGGAGCGGCTGGTCTCCTGGACGCGCTCTCCATCAGTCTGACCTCATGTTCCTGGTTGACCTCTGAGGCCTCGCCCTCTGTGATGTAGAGCTCTGTGTAGATCTGGGTCAGGGGGGCGGAGTCTCCTGCTTTAGCCACGCCCTCAAACACACGGCTGGACTTATGCTGCAGCTGCTTCTTCAGTTCATCTCTACAAACTCCAACAGTGCTTCCTGAATAAAGACAAACAGCTGTGACCATGTGACCACTGAACTGACCCCGCCTCCATTAGCGTTAGCCAAAGATGCTAACAAACAAGGCTAACAGCTAGCAGCTAACATTTCACCAAGTGAAATACACTTGTCAAATATAGATACTTAGATTATATCATAACAAGTGAATTCTGTCGATTCTGATCTTTAAAATGAGGGAGAACATGTGGGCGGAGCTTAAGTTAACACCATGTGTTTGTGGCTGAGTCGGTAACTTCCATGATCCAAAAGAATGTTCTGATTTGGGTGAAATCTGGGCCCATTACTGATGTGTGGTGAGTGTTCAGAGCCTGAGAGCCAGAAATGTGTGTGTCTCTAGTAAACACATGTTGTGTTGCTACAGACACAGAGAGTTCTTACTGCTCTGCAGGCGCTGGACCAGCTCATCCTGCTTCATCCTCCTCAGGAAGTCCAGGGCGATCTTCAGAACCTCTCTGCTCTCCTCCTCACTCTCAGAGCATTCTGGGTAATCTGAGGCCAGGAGCCTTTGGATCCTCTGCAGCTGCTCTTTGACAAAAGTCACCACGTCCTCCTGCAGACGCTGGAACAGAACAATAAGAGTTCACAGAGAGACGCTGAGGAGCAGCCAGAGAAGGCCACACAAGCTGCGGTGGTGGACACTCACCCTCAAGATGGCGTCCAGCGGCTCCTTTGGACCTGGATCCCTGTGAAACACACTCAGCATTTATTTAGTGTGCACAATAGAAGAACACAGACTCAAACAGGAGAGAAAAGGACTGTTTCTATAAAGAGCTTCTACACAGCACTAAACCTGGGACTCCCAGCTTCAGCACCAGAGACACCAGACATTTTGCCACAGATGAAGTTGTACGTTTGTGGTGACTCTGAAGTGTTGCCTTCTGGCTCTACAGGCCCTGGGCTTCTTCACCTCATCATTGTTTGGTTCGGATAGTCACAAATATGGGGGAAAGTGGTATTTATTGAATAGATTATTATAGATTTCATGTGGATTATTGTTCATGGCCTCTTTGAGTTCTTCATAACACACACCTCTAACTCTCACATGCATTTAACAGACAAACCAAGCCTCCGTCAGGAGCACACAGCCCGTTGGTTTGTGCAGAGCTTGTAAAATAAAGCGTCCCTTTGTTTGTTGCGGTGTAGTGGAGCTAGTTAGAGTTAGTGAGGTTAGAGCACAGCAGACAGAGCACTGCTGTAACCTACAATGTGTACAAGATTTTCAGGTTGACTGTTGTCTTCAATGTTGAATTTGATAATCACAGGAGGCAGTGGAGATACAGTGCCTTGCGAAAGTATTCGGCCCCCTTGAACCTTTCAACATTTCGCCACATTTCAGGCTTCAAACATAAAGATATAAAATTTTATTTTTTTTGTCATGAATCAACAACAAGTGGGACATAATCGTGAAGTGGAACGAAATTTATTGGATAATTTAAACTTTTAAAAAAAATAAAAAACTGAAAAGTGGGGCGTGCAATATTATTCGGCCCCTTTACTTTCAGTGCAGCAAACTCAGTCCAGAAGTTCAGTGAGGATCTTTGAATGATCCAATGTTGTCCTAAGTTCCTAAGTTCATCCAGAGTGATCATGGGCCTCTTGTCTGCATCTCTGATCAGTCTTCTCCTTGTTTGAGATGAAAGTTTGGAGGGACGGCCGGGTCTTGGTAGATTTGCAGTGGTCTGATACTCCTTCCATTTCAATATAATTGCTTGCACAGTGCTCCTTGAGATGTTTAAAGCTTGGGAAATCTTTTTGTATCCAAATCCGGCTTTAAACTTCTCCACAACAGTATCTGGGACCTGCCTGGTGTGTTCCTTTGTCTTCATGGTTCTCTCTGCGCTTTAAACAGAACCCTGAGACTATCAAAGAGCAGGTGCATTTATACGGAGACTTGATTACACACGGGTGCATTCTATTTATCATCATCAGTCATTTAGGACAACATTGGATCATTCAAAGATCCTCACTGAACTTTTGGAGTGAGTTTGCTGCACTGAAAGTAAAGGGGCCGAATAATATTGCACGCCCCACTTTTCAGTTTTTTATTTGTTAAAAAAGTTTAAATTATCCAATAAATTTTGTTCCACTTCACGATTGTGTCCCACTTGTTGTTGATTCATGACAAAAAATTTAAATTTTATATCTTTATGTTTGAAGCCTGAAATATGGCGAAATGTTGAAAGGTTCAAGGGGGCCGAATACTTTCGCAAGGCACTGTATGTGTGGAGCGCTGTATGGGTGAAGCAGATATGCTTTCTTTGGTTCGTGCTGACGCTATGGATCTATTATAATAACTGGATCTATTATAATAACTGGGTCTATTATAATAACTGGATCTATTATAATAACTGGGTCTATTATAATAACTGGATCTATTATAATAACTGGATCTATTATAATAACTGGGTCTATTATAATAACTGGATCTATTATAATAACTGGATCTATTATAATAACTGGATCTATTATAATAACTGGATCTATTATAATAACTGGATCTATTAGAATAACTGGGTCTATTATAATAACTGGGTCTATTATAATAACTGGGTCTATTATAATAACTGGATCTATTATAATAACTGGATCTATTATAATAACTGGATCTTTTATAATAACTGGATAGGGTATTACCTTATTATCACCAGTCGCATTGACTACTGTAATGCCCTGCTCTCTGGTCTTCCCAAAAAGAACATTTCAGGTTTACAATTACTTCAAAACTCGGCCGCACGTGTCCTGACTAAGACCAGGGGGCGGGACCACATTACACCGGTTTTAAAATCGCTGCATTGGCTCCCCGTGTGTTTCAGAATCGATTTTAAGGTTCTTTTAATGGTCTTTAAATGTCTTAATGGTCTTGGGCCTTCTTATCTTTCAGATTTGCTTTTATCCTATGAACCTTCCCGGCCCCTGCGCTCCTCCGGCAGCAGACTCCTAACCATCCCCAAAGTCAGGACACACACTCACGGTGAGGCATCTTTCCAGCACTACGGCCCCCGTCTCTGGAACAGTCTGCCGGAGGAGCTCAGGGCCGCAGAGAACGTTCATATTTTTAAGAGTAGGCTCAAGACGCACCTTTTTAGAGCAGCTTTTGATTAGTATTTATTATCTATTATTGCTTTTTAGTACATCTATTTATGTTTTTAGACGGATTATATTTTTATTTATTTTTATTATTTACTATTTTTAATTATTTATTGTATCTACCCATTTACTATTGTTATTATATTAGGCAGCTGCCATTTTTCTTTTTATTTTCACATTCTATTGTTCTACTTTCTATTGTATTATTGTATTGTTTTAGTGTCCCCAGTGTTTCCTCTGGAGGAGCCCTCTGCACTGAGAGCTGGGGTCTGCTGTGGCTTCGGGGGACTGGCTCTTGGATCCGGTGGGGGTCTGGGGCCTCCTCTCTCCTCTGGGTCCTATGGGGTCTGAGTCCTGGGCCTGGTGGGGTCTGGGGCCCCTCTCTCCTCTGGGTCCTGTGTCGTTGCCTGTGGCTGCAGCCGGCTCTCTGCTCCTGGTGCAGATGGCTCCTTGGATGACGCTTCTTCAGCCGGTTACATCTGCTCCCAGCCCCATTTATTTTTATTGTTTTACCTATTTTACCTGATATGACTTTATACTTGTGTGTGTGTGTCTGTGTGTGTGTGTGTGTGTGTGTGTGTGTGTGTGTGTGTGTGTGTGTGTAGCCCATGTGGTCTGAGTCTTGTCAATTTCACCAAAATCATATTTTTTTTGTTAGTATTTACTGGTATTTTATTTAAGTTTTATTTCTGTATATTTTTAAATCGAGGCTTTTATTTTGGCGGTGTCGCCACTTCCTGTGGGTTCGCGGGCTTCCCCTTCAGTTGCTGGGAAGAAAGCAGAGGGGAGGTAAGCAGTAAAATCTCTCGTGATTCAAGTTATAAAATATTTCATATAAAGTTGATTTAGGTCAATTCTTTTTGTTGTTCATGATTTATAAGGCACTTGCCAATGTTTATGTTTAATGTAAATGTGTGAAATAGTGTTTTTTTAATCGAGTTATAGCACTTTGAAAAAGCCAGTGTATTTAAGCTAGCGAGCATGGTCTCACTGTTGTCTGTGGCACTTTTTCTGTTTGCAGATCTGTGTCAGGGACTGCCGTGTGCTATACAGCATTTTGATTTTTTGTGTTTCACACAGGTATGTTTTGTATTTTCTTTCACAAGTGTCTTTTGTACATGATTTAGTTTTTGTTTCATAAAAATGTCATGATTGGGAGTTTACTGGTTAAAAAAACTATATGATTACACTTTAAGAATATCATTATTATATGCAGATTAGTAGCCGAGTTGCTGGGAAGAAAGCAGAGGGGAGATCTGTGTCAGGGACTGCCGTGTGCTATACAGCATTTTGATTTTTTGTGTTTCACACAGTAAACCCCTCGAATGACAAACCCCTGTGTCTGGTTTGATTCTTGACGCATTTACCTACACAATACACAACGCGGAGAGATCGGCTACAGTGGTGCCGTGACCCGGATCCATATCGCTCAGTCTGGTGCAGCGTGGTTCCTGGAGCAGTGGATCAACGCCATTTTGGTCGCCGGAGGTTGCTGCCAACACGTCGAGAGTCAACCAGTGGTCGAAGTTATTAAAGTTACTCAAGTTTTCTGTGAAATATCAAAATGACTTTTAATATGGATGAAGGGGAAAAGCAAAGAGTTCCCACTGAGACATTTTTTGTTGGTATGGGCAGAGGTAAACCCAGAATTGAGTGGGATCAAACCCTAGTGCGAGGTGCAGAAAATGTTCGCTCGCCTGCTTTTTGTTCTACCAGGTTACGAGAAAATGTACCTTCTACACAAGTGTAAATGATAGTGTATTAGGTGCATCTGCTGTAACAGACTCAGATTTAAGCACACTGATCACTCACATTGCTCAACAAGTAGGACAGACTATAAAAGACCAGTTAAGGAGTGAAATGGGACAAAGCTCAAACGACATGCCAGCTCAGGGTAGCGCAGAGCAGACGTCCAGTGAACCCACTTACTTGAACTTGTCAGGTGCGAAATTTGTCCTACAGCCAGATGTGAGAGAGCCTCCAGTCTTTAGAGGAGATGGTTTGGATAAGAACACAGTGTGTGAATGGCAAGAGATGGTTCAAGTATATTTCAGGAAGAGAGCAATACCCGTTAATGAGCAGCATTCTGAAATAATGTCAAAGCTAATGGGCAAAGCTAAAGATGTTGTCCGAGTGACTTTGCGGAGCAGTTCTTCACTGAAGCCTCAAGATAATCCAGACATAATCTTTGACATTCTCAGACAACATTTCAGTGATGTAACATACTCATGTATGCCAATGGCTGATTTTTACAGTACAGTCCCAATGCAAGGTGAAGCTCCTGTCGAGTACTGGCTGCGGTTGAACAAAGCAGTGGACGCAGCCGAGGAAGGTTTGAAAAGACTGGGGAGAAATATGACAGATCCATGTCATGAGGCAGCCATGATGTTTGTAAAGTATTGCCCTGACCTCACGCTTGCAGCAGTTTTCAGATTCAAAGCACCGGACAAATGGACAGCTAGTGAGGTGCAGGAGCATATTGATCGTTATCAGACAGAGAGGAAAGAGCTGAGTCTTTCTAAGCCAAAACGCATGCAGCCTGTCACGGTTCACGTTCAAACACCTGAACCTAGCCCTTCTGAAACAGCGAGTCATGCAGCAGAGCCAATAAAGCAA